CCTTACTCCACGCCACACCGCCTTCGGGGACCTCGAAATGAACCGCCTGGGCGACTCGATGCAGGCCGCCGTGCACAACGGTGATCACGGCGCCGCAGTGCGTACCTTTGCCCTATACAAGCTGAGAACAGAACGCCGCAGCTGCCGCAGCCCTCTCGTGCCGTCGGGCTGGGCTGGGCTGGGCTGGCGAGGCGGGGCCCCACACGGCGCCAGCACCGCCATGCACCGCGGACCCTGCGGCCGGAGCCCTGCCGCCCGACTGCCACATGGTGCGCGGGAAGGTGTTAATTATGGCCGTGTCGACGACGCGAGCACGCAGGGGCTGTTATCGCAAACGCACTGAGATGAGCACTTATTGCTGCTCTCCGGCCCTGGGGCGGGACGGGGCGGGCCGGGGCACCAGAACACCGGGAGAGCGACAGCCGTTTCCGGCCAAAGAACGACGCGCTGGCAGGAGGAGGACAAGATAAGGGTAATCAAAGACGATACTCATCAGCAGCTCCCGGTGTCGGCGCGTCCGTCGGCCGGGATTGGGATCCACGACGAACGAACGGCACAGGGACCGCGCCCCGCCGCGCCGCGCCCCGTTACGGCCCATTCTAGAGCGGCCGCGGCGCAGCGCCCCGCTCGGCCCCGCTGCAGCGGCTGCAGCCACGACGCTGCAAAACGGGCGCCGCGCCGCAGGGATCTGAACCCACGCCGACGCGCTGAGGCGCTGACGCGCAGCGCGCGTGGGATGCAGATCCAGTGCAGATACACACACACAGACGCCACCAGCACAATGGCGCATGCGGTACGTGCTACGCAGCGCTACGCCGCGCTACGTTGTCTAGCACGCGGCCGAGCCGAGCCCAGACGATCCACTTCTCATTTAGCCGAGCGTGCGAAAGCGGCGGGTATGCAGAGCCAGGGTACGTGGAAAGCCGGACGGCGTGCACGTCCGCGACGTCCGCGACGGCGATGACAGCAAGTCACGCTGAGGCGAGGGTGGGGGGAGCGAGTGGGCGCTCGTCCACGGCGTCGCGCCGCAACGGGCACCAAGACCGAGCAGGAGGGCAAGCAGGACGGCAAGCAGGACGCGGCCCGCCCGCGTGCAGCAGCCGAGGAGTAAGCGGTTTGTCGCTCTGTCTCCCTCGCACCCTCATGGAAAGCCCCACGAGTGCGACAGAGACAGAGTGGCTCGGCAGCGCTACGCCCGCTGCGCCCCGGGCCGTCACGAGTCACGACAGCCTGGCGGCATGCTGGCGGCATGCTGGCGGCGGGCCCTCCGACTCTCCGACGCGACGCCCTGACGGCCGGGCCTGCCTTGCCGGCCACTCCACGAGGGCGTCCGGCAACCGGCAAAACCTACGCCGCACCGCGTAGTGCCCCGCAGGCCGCACCGCGTGGAGAATTGGCCGTCACGCGTGCAGGAGTGTTTTGGCACGGCCACCTCCAGACGACGGCAAAACGAGCGGGTCTCCCTCCACACTCCGGCGGGACGGTCATGGCCTCCACCGCCACGGCCAGGCCACGGCCCTCTACCGCCGCCGTCATGCCCCTCGCCTTTCCCGCACACCTCGGATTGATGCCGTTAGGAACGTGTCCAACGTGTCCGCCGGGTTCGTGTCATGCGGTCCGGCCAGACAAACACGCCCCGCCCCGCCCCGCCCCGCACAGCGACGCCGCTAGTATCCGCAGCGTCACGCCCGTCACGCCTCGCAGCTTCTCATTTTCCTTTTTTATCATTTCGCCGATTAATTTCACGACGCGTCGACGCGCGCGCGTCCCGCGTCCGTCGCGGCAAAGCCCGCGCCACGCCTATGCGGTGCGCGGCCGAGGGGGCCGAGGGGCGGAGGGAGGGGCCGTTCGGCCGTTCCCGCGGGAGCCCGTGTCCGTGCTCATAGCCTCCAGGGCCTAACCACCGAGCGAGACGCGGCGGGGCGGGGCGGGATGAGCCGCTAGGGGCCGCTAGACCGGCCGGGGCGTGCCGCCAGCCCGCCAGGGCGTGCCACGCCGTCTCATTGTTTGAGCTTCACACAGATTAGCCGACAGCACGACCGGGCTGCTAGAGTCCGGGCCACTGGAGTACAACTGTACCCCGCACCGCCTCGCCCAAAGCCTCGCCCCCGTACTGGAGCCCTAGCGGCGCCTCTGTGGCTTCCGGGCCCTCCAGCAAGATCCAGCAGAGGGAAGTCCACGCTTTGGCGCGACTCCAGCGACGCGCCGCAACGCGCCGCAACGCGCGTCGACAAAGGGCGGCCTCGAGGGCGCCGTCGAGCCGCTGCCGGCCACGCCCCCTTTGCGTGCGTCCGAGCGGTCCGAGCCTTCGGCGCGCACACTGCGAATCGGCCGGCCGACACGCCGACACGCCCGTCATTGTCTAGTCAGAGACTTATCGGGCCGATTTGCTCCAAATTAAACTTGTTCGGGTCACCCTGGAACAAACAGAGCGACACCCGGCCGAAAAACTCACTCGGGAACATATGGTTCGTAGACCCGGTGCGGCACGAAATAGGCCGCTTGCCCCCCCCCCCCCTTTTTGCCCCGACCAATCCCCCGCGGAGAGGCTGGGGTGCGGAGCGGACGCAGCAGCGTAGCGAGCGCAGGGGCTTTTCAGCCCAAGTTCGTTCAAAGTTCAAGCTTGAACATTGCCGCAAGGAAGCGCCGCAGGCCGCAGCAGTGGACGCGAGTCTACTGACCCCGCCCGGGCCGAGGCCGAGGGCCCCGTGGGCCCCGTGGGCCCCGTGGTGGGCTGGGCTAGGCTGGGCCCATGCCCGTCTAGAGCCCCGCGGCCGCGCGGCCCCGTGTCGGGCCCATGCTGTGCGCTGTGCCCAGCTTCGCCTGCTGCCTGCCTCATCAGATCCGGTTTGCGACCCCGCCCCGCCCCGCCCCGCCCCGCCCTCCGCCTCTTTCTCCTCGCCACGCAGTGGACCGCTAAGACGTATCCTGACCCTAGGCGGGGCCGTGGCGGCGTGGCGGGGCCGTGGCGGGCACAGGCACGCAACGCGGGGAAGGGGACGGGGGCAAAGCCTTTCAAAGCGTTTCATTAGCACGGCGCGGTGCCTCGGAGACGCGACGCGACGCGCACAGCGAGCTCAGAGAGGCCCCTATTCCATCACCGCCATCAAGGCCACAAACACAGCTCGCACCACCCTGCAGACCGATCTCGAAAACCTCAATCGTCGCTCTGTCAGTAGGTGCGAGAGAGCCAGAGAGGCGAAACGACCCCTTCGGAGTCATGCGACAGTGGCACCCAGGGGGCTGCAGCCCTGCAGTGCACGCGGATGACAGCCGTGACGCAAGCCGTACCCTTCCCCGCCGCGGCCACGCCAGGGGCACGCCGTCGTAGGGCCAAGCCGACGGCCTTCGGGGCCTTCGGCAAGGGCAAGGCCGGAAATAGCACGCGGCGCGGCGCGGCGCGGCACGGCGTGGAAGAGGGCCAAACGGCCAAACCCGCTCGCTCGCACCGAGCCCTGACTTGCCCCGAGTGCCCTGCATACACCGCCCGTGCAGCCCGGCCCCGCCCCGCCCCGCCCGGCTGATGGAAAGTGGAAATCAGGTCGAACGTCGCGAGTCGTCGCGGTGCGGTACGGCGGCCAGGTCAAGCGTCAGGCCTCACCTGGCTGGCGAACGGACGGACAGACAGACAGACAGACAGCGGCTGGCCTCAGTGACTCCAGCACCAGGCGCCGGCGCGGTGGGCCGCCAGGGCGGGGGCGTAGGGGGCGTGCCGTGCCACCCCACCTGCCCCGCCCCGCCCCGCCCAGCATTCGGACGAGGGTGCACAATCGCCTGACAAATCGGACGCTTCCGCCAACCCCCTGCCTGCCTGCCTGGCAAGTTCACCGTTCACCGCCTTCTCCAACAACGGCGGGGCGACTTGTTGCCGATCGACTGATTTGTCACGCGATACCGCAGAAGCAGGCGAGCGGCAAGCAATGGAGCAGATGCGCTTTGCCCCGAGCAGTGTAGTGCCACGGCCAGACCCTGCCCCAGGCACCCCAGGCCCCAGGTGTGCGGAGCGCGAGGCGCGAAGCGAGCGGAAGGGCGCGGGGGGCGGGACCGCGACGACAGCGAAGACCAGGCGCTGCAGCCTCCCTTCTCCTCCCCAGGATGACTCGAGATGGACACAACGAGACAATTTCCATCACGGACGCCACTGGGTCGGCGGAGATAAGAAGGCCGACCTTTTATCGGACTCGATGAAAGAGTGCATTCATAGACGTCGGTAGCCAGTCAGGGGGCGGTCAGGCGGTCTGGGCGTCCGAGGGGGGCGGGTGGGGGTGGGGCACATTGCAACTACAACAGAACGGCACACTGCACGTTCACGCTGCCTCATTCTAAGAAGCAAGATCGTACACGCACCCACACAACAAGGTTCAAACAAATTTGCAGCTCCCTCCCTCCCTCCCCCTCTCCGTCCGCCCATCCCTTTTGCTCTTGGAGGTGATCCGGCAGACGGTACTAGTCACACTCATCAGAGCACATTTCAGATGCTATAACAGAGAATAGGGGAGTCCAAAATAAGACGAAAATTTGAAATTCCTAACAAAAATTCGTTGGGAACATTAATGGTGAGTTTATAAAATTCTCCTACAAACTTTGGAAGTTAGATTAATTTTAACAAAACCATCAGCACGATATACCTTGAACTTAAGAAAATAACCAGCATCACACAAAATTGCAACAAAAAAAGTCCCTTTCAAGTGACAGTTGCACTGATAATAACAAAAACATAACCTCATCAACGAAAATTGACATATTGCCCATTCGGGCGATAAACAAATCGTGCCATAAATATGAGCAACAGAATCAGAAAGAACCCCCTCAGTGACCATAATACACCCAAATTCAAAGGTATGTTCATATAAAAATCGGTTACGCCATTCATTTGAGACACAGATCATTGCACCAAAGTTGTCACCTAACCCAACTTCACCCGCCCTCCCTCTCGCTACAAGCGCTCGCGGCGCTCCTGCACTTTTCAAACGCCCAAAAATTGTGAACCCAGTACTCACCTCCTCCAATTGGCAGACGGTGGTGCGACATTGCGGCATACGAGATACAAATGTCGAGGTGGTCGGAGAATTGTAATCCTCACGGGTCTCCTCCACAAACTCATTCACACTTATCAAGCCTGGCATTGCGACGGCTTTTCAAACACAAAATAAGAGACACAGACGTTGAACGCACAGGGACTACATCTGAACAGATCCACACAGCACTGCACACGATCCAAGGGGCACACGGAGGACGAAATCACGACGACGCAGCGAGCAAAACAGTCGCCATTTCAAGTTTATCTCCGATACTTGACGTAGCGAGAGGTACAGAGGCGTAGCGGACAACGGTCGCTGCAAACAGCACTCGGTCGGGAGCGGAGGCCACTGATGCCAACTCGAAGCGAAGACTCCAAGCTCCAAGCTTGGCCGAGCTCCTCCCAGTTTATCTCCGGCCGCCAGATGGCGCATCGGTCGCTCTGTTGCTCCAAGAGCTTGGCCGCGCCGCCGCCAGGTCGCAGCACTGTCCAGCGCGTGCCTTTTGTTGTTGCCGGTTGCCTCCCTCACTCCCCCACCCCACCCCACGGTTGCGCGGTTGTGCTTCCCTGGACAAACAAAACAAAACAAACAGGCGTCTCCGTCTGCTGTGGCCGGCATCGGCACCTTGCACTTCCTTGTCAATTCCCATCGGTTTCCTTGCTCTGGGGCGCCTCATTCACCTCATTGACGCCTGTTCCTTGATCCAAGTGCCGCGCTACCACGCAAATTGCCATTTGTTCCATTTGGTCTCAGGGTCCAGGGAAAATTATCTGCGAATAGATTGTTTGACAGTTGTTTGACAGCTGCGACAGCAACTATGGCACTACACGAACGTGACCTTTTCACTAATCTTTGCAATGCGAATAAAATACCAGTTGACCAGAACGTTTTAAGAGCTTTATCTAACAACAGGTAACTCACCTGAAAAAATTTCATGTACCTGAAATAAATTTTAGACCGAAACGTCACTCTTGTTTGCAGCTTGGCATCTCTTGATTTGTCTGGCTTCAGCTTGACGAAAGAAACATGTGAAATATTATCAAAAGTCCTTTTAAATTCCACATCTTTTCTAAATCTCATCTTTACTGATTGTTTACTGCCCCCTCGAGGACTTTCATACATTCTCAAAAGCTTGTCTCATGTATCCTGCCTTACATCAGTGGACTTAAAGGGAAACAACATATCAGGCAATAGTATAAGCAAATTGGGTCAGATGGTTTCAAGTAACTCATCAATTAAAAAGTAAGTGTTGGTCAGCTACTTCTTCTCTCATAACTAAAATTTTTACATGATCTATGTCAAATCTATAATTCATTTGGTCTTGTAATTGCACTGCAAACAGATAGTGATTTATTTATTCTTATTATTTTCCTCCAATAGACTTAATCTTGAATGGAACAGCCTGGGTCTCTTTCCTGACTCTTTTAAGGACTTTTGCTTAGGACTTGCAAAGAACACTTGTCTAGAAATTCTTGATCTACAAAACAATCGTCTTAACCCAGAGTGTGCATCAATGTTGAGCAATGCCCTCACTTCCAATACTGCTCTAAAATCTCTTGGTATATGATATTGAAATATTCATTTTTTAATATTTAGTTTTACTGGCTCTCTGAAGGCAAACAAACAAACAAAAATGTGTTTTTTTGGCAGATATTCGTTGGAATGAAATAGGGTGGCAGGGTGGACAGTACATTTATGAAGCAATGCAAAATAATAATTCATTAGACAATGTTCAGCTCCAAGGCAATTGTATAACTGGAGATATTCTCCAAGCTATAGGTGAGAAATCATTCAAAGTTTTTATTCAATCATATGACAGTTTTCAACCCATCAAAAAGCGTCACAAAAATCACTTTTGTAAAATCCTCTTTTTGGTTTCCAGAGCAATGTGCCACCCACAACCTTTCCCGCCACAAAGTTATGCAAGAGTGCTCTGTTCGAAATAATCTCCTTGCAAAGCATGTAAGACGAATTGAAGCTAAGCGCTCCCTTGAGATTGAGAGTCTTGCTAAACAGAATGAGGAGATAATCAAGTAAGGAAAAAATGACTTATACTGGTTCTAATATCAGAAGAAACTAAAATTTCTTTGCACTTTTTAGAGAAACAGAAATAAGGCTCAGCAGTGTTGAAGATGTTCTTAATGAAAAGAATGCAGCATTGGCAAATGCACAAGTACAAATAAAATCCCTGCAAACCGAATTAAGGAAACTGGAAAACACAAATGAAGAACTTCAAAGCCTTGTCGGCGATGAGGAAGAGAAAAGGAAATGTCAAGCAGAGAAGCATCAAGCAGAATTGGAAAAGCTTAAAAAAGTAGTTTTTTTGCATTATTATTAGGATTGTACTCAATTTTTTACATAGCTAAGATTTATTTAAAACCTTTTCAATGTTTTTAGAAACACAGTGAGGATTTTGATCTTATGTCAGAGCAGCTTCTGTCCATGGAGAACGATTTATCTGTTGAAAAGTCGAAAGTGTCTGAATTGAGTAAGAAACTGATGGTTACAGAAGATGAAGTTCGTAGGCTGCAAGAAAATCTAAACGGCCTGTTGGAAATAGAGCGGAAGAGACATAGAGGTTCTTCTTTCACTGAGTCATTTTAATATCTATAATAAACATATTGTTAATTTATTTTTATTTACCTCTGTTTTCTGCAGAAAACATGGAATCAACTATTAGAGACAGTGAGGGAAAACTTGAGAGGGCTCAGAAAGATTTTGATGAGAAAATGAGAACTTACAAATCAGATGCCCATCACAACCATCAACGTTTGACAGAGCGCATAACATCACTTGAGGCTAATATTTTTGATCTTGAAAGAAAATTGTCGGAGCAGTCTTCTCATGCTGCACATATGTCCCAGGAATTAGCACGATCAGCAGAGATAACTGCTCTAGCAGTTCAAGAGGCTAGAGAGAAAGAAGTAAGTTAACTCAGACATCCTATTTTAAAAGTGTTTTTCAAAAACTATTTCTTAGTTCTACAAGTCAATTTCAGATGGCTAGAATTAAAGTAGTTGAAGAAAACTTTGAAGCTGCCCGAGATGGAAGGCTAAGAGCAGAGAAACAATTGGAAACAGTCCAGCATAACTTGAGCCAAGTACAGGAACAGAATAGTAGCTTAATTGCAGAGCTGGGAGAACCTCAAAGGAAATTAACATTGCTGCATGAGGTATGTTAGCTCTTGGTTTTATTATACTGGTCTATTCCATTTATCTCCAGCAAAACTTTTAATTCTACAGGAGCTTAGTCGAGAACGAGAGATTGTGTCTCGATTAAGAGTGGAGAAAAATGAAGAGGTAGCTCGAGCTGACAGTCGCAAAGCTGATGTTGATCGTTTACAGCTTGAACTTACCAACCTTAACAGACAAATGGCAGACATACGGAGTCACAATGCAGCTAATGAAGAAAAGTGGAAAGAGGAGAGAACTAAACTACAAGTAGATCTCCTTCATAAAGAAAAGGAGATTCAGAGAATGAGGTAACAAATTTTTGATTTATTCGTTAGTTTATTGTACTTTTGAGAGAATGTAGTGATATTACAATTTTTGAGTTTCTGTTGCAGGACTGAAGAAATAGAGAGAGCAGGAGCTTTGTACTCGGCTTTCACTAAGTATCTTGGAAATGTACACCCCTCCACAACATCCTTTTGAAAAACTAGAGTGCTAGTTTATTTTCTAGTTTGAGTGGTTTGCTTTGTGCACTGTGTGGCGTGGCTCACCAAACCTGATTGCAATTAGTGTAACTGAGTTCAAACTAGTTTGAGGTCTCTTTCAATAAAATATAAAAAAAACTTGACTCACCAAATAATTTTTTTACTTTGCACTTTATTAATAAATTTACAGACTGTTTTATATAACAATTTACATTATAATTCATATCAAATTTATACAAAAGGAACTAGAAAAGCTCTTAATAAGAATACTGTATTAAGAGAGTTCATATTTTTTTTAAGATTGTACAAGAATACATCTTCATCCAAGGTCAAGTAATTTCAGGCATATGGATGATAGAGAAAAAATAGAATAAATTAACAAGTCTTTCAATGCATTTGAACAATTGATACAACAAACTTCATTCATTATTATAAATAGTTGAAATATGGCAAGGATGAGCTGTGCTTAGATAAGATGGATCTTTGGTAATCCAATCTTTTCCACCACAGTCACTGGGAAACCTTTATTTAATCATCATGTGAAAACCTCCAATCCCAATAAATATAAGAAGCAATATTGCTTCCACTCAAATGAAAATATGACAAATAAAAACGTGACTAGTTCAATTTTTCTAATGCTTAAAAAATTAATTTAAAGAACCGTCTGGTCAGGTGACATTGTTTCAACACCTAACTTTTTTTTACAGTGATTACAGTGAAAGTCTTTGAGCTTTAACAAGAATTAAGTTAAAATGGCAATATCTAACGCAGTCTCAATCATTGGAAATGAGGAGGTATTAAAGAAATAATTCACGTTGATTCTCAGTATCAGCATGATCCAAGATCAGATAAGAATAGAGGAGCCCTTTTGGGTGATCAGACTTGTAAGTCTTTCCTTCGAAGTTAGAAGGAATTGTGTGCAGCCTCCACATGAAAGCTGTATACACACATATTGCTAGCAGGTCTTGACAACATCACATCACATGGAAAGGAAAATGGCACAAAGTTGATACAAGGAAATTAAACTTAAAAACTTTGAAAGAAATGGCCCTTTGAGACAAGACAAATAGCCAATTTAAAAAAAAAAAAAAAACTTGAGGTCACAATTAAGACTTTGAAATACATTTAGGGCTGTACAAGCACTTTTAGTTGTTCTTCAGATAATGCAACACCTCCCAACTTCTTATTTTGAAAAGAGAAGGAAAGATCAGTGAGTCACACAGTTAAGTCTTAATTTAAATCACAACTGAACAATTAAGAAACAGAATTAACAAACAAGTGCACTCCCTCCTTACATGAGGTCTTCACATGGCATGATTCCAATAAAATGCATTAAATGGAGACTAATGTCCCTTCTTAAACTATTAAGATAGAAGACATTTATACTTATTTACAAAAAATATTTTGATACAAATTAATATACAATTTAATGCATTTCATTGCACATGACTGAAAACAATAGGCTTTATCAAAAGAGATGGATTCTCAGAAATAAGGCCTCTTGGGTCTGTGAGAAACAGAATTTCATTCCTACAATTCAATCACAATATCTACTTTATACAACTTCATTCGTCTCTTTGAAAAAATACATTTCTTTAAAGAGAGAGATGTATTGTCAGTTAGTGTCTACAGGACACATTTTAAGACAGTCTCACATTTATCAAGGTACAAGGGAAGTAACAGGAACTGAAGAAAGTTCTGGTGACAGAACTCTTCTTTCATGTTATTCAACTGGTTTCACTTGAGCCATGATCTTGCCCTCCCAAAGGGGAACAATATCATTATCGTCAGTTATCTCCTCTTGGATTACCTTCATGTCCAACTCCTCACACTCTGTTTTGAAAAAGTACCTGAAAATAGCCAAGGGGGGAAAATTAGACAAGACAAACAGAAACACTTTTCAGAATTATTTTACACAGGCCAAACATTCTTTACAAACATTCAGGTGCAACAATACCAACCTGAAATTTCCCTTTTTAGGTAGGTACTCCTTAAATTGTTTTAGAGTAACCGGCCTGCTAGGGATCTTGGTTCTATACGGGAACTGCTCTTCGCAGAAAGTGAAGACAACGGTGGTGCTCTCCTGGGCCTCGACAGCAGGTCGAGCCGGCCGTGCGGGCCTCCTCAGCGTCGAGGGGTTGGAGTGTGAAGGTTCAGCCTTGCCGCCCACGCTATACCTGGAGGCAAAAGTTGAACATGAGCGACGCGATCATCGTCCGGTCGGTCCTACACTGGCAAATGCCAGATGAGGGAATAGACATGGCGCTTTGCCATTTGCCCGTTGCCTTACCGCGGTCGCTGGCGGTGTCCGTCGTCCATCAGGCGCCGTCTAGCCTCCTCCAGCTGCGTGGCTGTGTGGGGCTGCGGCAGGGGCGGCATGGAGGGGTCCGCCACGAAGGGCTGCGCGGGGCCCACGCCGCCGCACCCGCTCAGGGGCATGGGCACGGGCATGGCCATGGGCATGGCCATGGGCATGGCGCGCTCCAGCGAGTCGGAGCGAGAGGCGCTGTGGTGCGCGCCACCCGTCGTGGACCCAGCGCCCGTCGAGCCCGACTTGCGGCTGTGCCGCGAGGCGATGGGCGAGGTGGCGCTGGCACCCTGGCCCTGGCCGTGGCCCTGGCCGTGGCCCTGGCCGCGCTCGCCACGGTGGCCGCGGTGCTTGGAGGAGGTTTCGCTGCGGGCGTGCCACGAGCCCTCCCCCGACACCACACTCTTCTCCCGCTCGCTCTCCAGCAGCCAGGAGAGGACCTTGCTGTCCTTGAGCTGTGTCGGCACGCCCGGCACGCCCGGCACGCCAGCCTGCGCGGCCGGCTGCGTGTCCGACACGACCGAGACTCCACTGTCGCCCTGGTCGGCGAGGGCCTTCCTGTTGCTGGACGAGCGGCGGTACGTGCCTTGGCGGTCCTGCCGGTCCTGCCGGTCCCGGTACCGCGGCATGGCCGCAGGGTCGCGCTCGCGCTCTCGGTCCGCGTCGCGGTACGCCTCCTGCTTGAGGGTCTCCACGTAGTCCGGCACCGATTTGCTCTTCGGCACGTGGTGCTTGTGCTCCGAGATGGGGCCCTCCATGTAATCGTGGACGTTGCCAGAGTCCGAAGAAAAAGTAGAGAACACGTCCTGCCAGAGCAGAGGGAAAGAGCTCGTTAGCAAAGGGTTTTTGTAGAAGGTAGCCACAAGTCATGCCGACAGACTACGGCAACTTGGGGAAGTCCCTGCGCCCTGCACTGCTACTCACCTTTTCCTTTCGGACATGACGGCAACTGTAGCTGGCCCTGGTCTGATAGGGGTGGGGCACAGCCACAGGTGCTTTAGGGGGAGGAAGAAGGGTAGAAGCTGCTGTTGGAACTCGTCTTCTGGAGTCTGGGCTTTTGGGCCTCGGTGAGCTAAAGCCAGGGGATCTCGATGGCGTCAGATCTGACCAAACTCTTGAAACATGTTGGTCTGTGAGAAAAAATGTTTTAGGATGAGCACTTAAATGAAGTTAAAAGGCTTAGTCCCTGATCCCACGACAATACACAGTATCAATACTGGACAAAGGAGAGAATCTTACCGAGGATTGCCTGGTCCTCATCATCATCCAGGGACAGCTTTTCCCTGAGGGCATCAGCCAGAGCACGAGAGGACACAGCATTCTCTGCCATTCCTGATTCCGAGCCAGCGACATCTTCTCGCTCGAAATCAACATCCAAAAGCTTGCGATCCAGTTTCTCCTGAGCTTCCTGATCTTTTTTGACACTTTCAAGCTTTTGAATTAGAATGGCCGCAAACATGTCAGGTGCCATTGTGTGAGTCTACAAAAAAACACAAAGAAACAATTTTTGTTAGAAGGGTTTCACAGAACATAATGATAACTGAGAGTTGCTACAAGGGTTGTAATAAGACTCGACATACTTGCTCCTTTTGAAGCATCTGAGTGCGAGGAATAACTGTGCGATGAGAAAGAAGGTCCCGATTCATGCTAGCACTTTCCCTCATCTGCCTATATTGTCTCATGTGTTGACGCTTTGATGTTCTTGACCTCCCGATGGAAGACATACCATCGCTGTAAATCAAACATGACAGATGAGAGTCAAATAAATTACAAAAATTACAATCTTAATGTTTGAATCATTTTGCAATTTTTAAAAAAAGCAAAAATAAAGGCAAACCACAAGGCAAATTAAAACTACACCAGCCAGCTAAAATATGATGACTTACATTGAGCTGTCTGTAAGCGACAGATTGTCAGACTCTGTGCGGGCATCAGAGCTGAGGGATTGTAGTTCGCTATCCTGGCGCGACACAGGATTATAAGAATTGTAAACAACATGGGGATTGTTGGGATGAAGTGAAAATGGGCTATGGTAGGGGCGCTGGAGGTACATCCTACCAAAATGAAGACAAAAAAACAAAATCAAAATACATACAAAACAAAAGAAAAGCATCAAACAAATAACATAAATAAAAGCAGTGAGATAAGCAATCAGGCCAAGTAAAGCTTATAAAAGACAAACAAAACTATTTTCTTTAAATGCAGTGCACAAATAATGGTCTCTACCTAATTCTAGAAGAGGCTTTACTTGTTAACTAGTAATGATAAATTTACACCAGCATTAAATAACCAGTCTAAATTAAAAATCCTTAACTAACAAGAGTTTGCCATGCAACTATGATACTACTTGTGAAGATTCTACATACCCAGCATAGGCTTCCGGCTTAGGTTTGAGGTCTGTTGCTCTTCTCCGCTCCGTAGCCAGGAGCATATCTTTTGTGAGCCGGAGAGGTGCCATGGAGGTAGACACAGAGGGTGGTAGTGAAGCGGACATAGATAACTCAGCATCTTCATGAAGTGTGGGCAGAGGACATCCACCAGCAAGTCCAGCTGGATCCCTGCTACTATTACTGCCACTGGATGATCCAGATTCGCCATTGTCACTGGAGCCATTCTGCCAGGGACAGAGAATGACCATTGTCAACTAATTCGATAAAAATTACAGTAAACAACAAGAGGACAAGTGGAAGTTATTTTACCTGCATGGATTGGACATGCTGAAGGTACAGATCAGACTTAAGAAAATTTGGGTAAGTTGTTTTGCTAATAAGTTGCTCCACAGCAGCCTGTACAGCGTCAAATACTCCAGGGTGTACAGGCTCTCTGCCTTCCTTTACCCTTCGGTTAACATCTTTTCGCAAATCATCTGGAATAGATAACTGAGATTTCTGCAAAAATTTTCTGTGGAAGAAGAATACCAAAATAATTAGAAAATGAGAGAAAACTTTGGAAATGCAAGGTGGAGAAAGTAAAACGCCCCAATACCTGTATATAACTTTGACAAGTTGAATAACTCGTTCCTGATCTGTTTGCTTCTTCAAGCCTTCACAAGCAAACCAAAAATCTAAAGTGTCTAATTGACCCTCTTGTTTGAGGAAAGTACGGAAAAGTTCCACACCATCTGAATCTTCTAACAAATAGTGCAGGTTTTGAGCCCATCGCATATAAGGCGGAGGTGAGGGCTGTTCATGGGGATACCGTCCTCGGGCATCCCCACCTCCACAGCTACCTTCGGGCTCGAAGCCCAAAGGAGCATTGTGGTCTGCCACTGTGGTAGTATAATGAGACCCAGCAGCTAAGCTGGATCGGCGTGGTGTCAGCACTGGTGATTCGTGCTTTTTCTGGAAATTCCATGGCGGCAAATATGGGTACCCTGGGGTGGGCGAAAGAGAGCCCACCACATCCGTTTCCTCTCCTAAAAAACAAAAAATTATGGATATTATTAGAGCAGCAGCTTTACAGCATTGTGTGTTGCAAAACCCATGGACATAAACATAGAAGCGAAAGGCCCCTGAATAAAGTTTAGACTTTCTTAGAAATTTAATTTTAACATACCAGGAACTGGTGGCCTCGGACAATTTTCATTGAAGATTAGATGCCTCTGGCTGAAACTCATTTTAGTTGATGGAATTTGGGGCTGACACTGTATGTCAGCCAATCGCCAGAATCACAATTGTGATCAGGCAATAACTTCATGATGGACACCAAACTGCACCTGCAACAAAAATAAATAAATTTTATAAAAAACATTTGAAACAAATATTTTAATTTTTATAAAATACTGAACGTATGCAGAGTTTTAATTGAAAAGCGAAAGACTATATGGGCTTTGATTCAATGAAGACAAAATACAACAGTCAAGGCCAGAAGAAACACAACAATGAAGAGATGGTGTCGGAGGGAACGCTTTAGATGAGTCACCACTATCGATTGAGCCCAGCCCTTCTGTCGGAACCAAGGGGAGGGAGAAGTGAATAGAAGCTGGTGAAGCAGGGACGCTGGCTTGACTCAGGAGAGATGCGGAAAAAAAGGAATGAGAGGGCTGGCTTCCCTCTCCCTAGGTTCGATCGATACCAAAACTACACACTGAGAACAAAGAAACGCAAGCATTTGCTGAGGGGACTTGATTAGAATGGCAAAGAACATTACAAACAAAGAATAAAAAGCCCATAGACCATATGAATCATAAAAGGAGGGGTGTGGAAAAAATTCAAAAAGGGCACGGCAGAGGGTAGGGGTCCACTCCCCTTTTATTATTTTCATATTTCCTCATAACTTTCATTCAAGCATATCAGGTTACCTCTGCTCCAGTCATATGGCCAAACAAAGGCATGAACAGCAAAAAATCATACGGGTAAAGACTCAAATGAAGGGTGATACAACACCAACCACGAGTTCAAACTCACTCCAGATTAAAAAGGTGACTTAAAATAAAAAGACTATTGAAATCAGATATACAATGAGATGAAATCAGTTGGAAATAATTGTTTGAGACTTAGGCCAGACAAAAGAGATCCTCAAGGTATATTCTATCTCCGCAACCTAAGGATTAAACGGCAAACAAAAATACAGCACTGCTGAGGTACAATAATAAAAACTCACAAAACAGCACCATTGCTCAAACCGTGCACACCAGCAGACTAAAATGTTTCAGAGACTGAGAACACCGAACAAAATCTTGCACAGCTTCCCCACAGCCGTTCTCCTGCCAACTGTATTGACCGGTGGAACTGAGACGAATGGCTGCCACGAAAAGAGGACCAAGCAAGCCTGCCGGCGTTGGCTCAAGGGGGGGGAGAAAATCTGACTCACCCACTCTGCGCACTGCGCAGCACACACAATGTCAGAGGCAACCTACCCTCGGCAAGCCCCCACTACCAAGGTTCTTCCCCTCTCATAATTCTACAGCCTGATGTGGTAGCCGCTGTCATAACAGCTCAGTGCACCAACAGGAGCGAGGCATTTGTTCCAGATACACTCCCCCACAAAATAAAAGGAAAAAAAGGTTGGGAGAACCAATAATTGCTTGGAAACAAAAAAAAATTTAATGGACAAAAAATATAATTCTAGTAGAAATCAACAGATATATTAACACTTCGATAAACTCTTTTTTTTTTTTTTTTAATCTACAGCATGTTGGACAGCAGTTTTTAATACTGAGGTGGAATCAGAAGAGGCCCTTCAGACACATCCATTCATCATGCATGAGTGGTCTCCATTGTGATCCGGTGCAATTATATTTCATACCAATATTCAATGGACCTTTTGATAGATGAGAGGAAGTCTGACTGACAAGGGTTGGTAAGGGTGAAGCCGTGGAGTTAGGGAGGAGGAGGAGGCAAGGAGGGAGGGAGTGAGGGGTTTGAATGCATGCAGCACACATGTGCAGCATGGCAAGTTAAGCAAATATTTAAATAAATATGGACAAGCCATCAATTAATTTCAATGAGACAGATTCACAAGCTTATTAATAATAATGTTTAAAGACGCTATTTGGTACTTTTTGGCATATTATTTCAAATGAATGTAATCCAAAATGATAAATTGGTCTAGCTTACACTTTCAAATTTTTAATGCAACCTAAACATTCTTTAAAATAGAAATCTTCGATCTTTCCAAAACGTGTGTTCTCTCCCACCACTCAGGCAACAGGTAAATATGATGCTTACCAAAACCACAATATGACGAATATCACATGAGGGTATCCAAAAGTCCACACTTAATCCAAAATAATCCAAGGGGCGAGGGTGGTTATCCAAAGGGCGCCGGGTAATCCTTGGGTCTCACTTCACACTAATTCACACTCACACACACTGATCACAAAATCACTGGCGGTCTCTGTTTTCCACTGCTGTCACACGCACAGTTGCTTGCCATGCTTCAAGCAGCCAAAGAGCGCCACCTTCAACTTGAGCGTGGCGCCGCGCGCTCGCACACGCACTGCACACCGATTTGCTCGCACTATCCGCCAAAAGGCAACTTGGCACTACCGGCAACCCGGCACGCGGAACGCACTTGCGTCCAAAAAGCCGGCTCAAAAATTCCTCAACGCGCACGGCCCGGCCCGACTCGGCGTCGCGAGAGAAGGCGCTGCAGCAGGACGTTGTACGTGCGCCCGGCTGTGCCCTGCACGCCACGGCGATGTTGGAGCGACTGAGGAGGAGGACGGAAAGGGAGGAGAGAGAGAGCGAGGGAGGACGAGGAGAGGTGGGGGAGGAGGGATCCTGCGGGGAGGGGGCAGGACTCGACGGACTAGTGCGCGGCGGAGGCGCGGCGGCGCGGGGCTGCGGGGGTGCGGGGAGGGAGGGGGGTTCGTCCAAAGCGTCTCCGCCGCCGCCGCCGGCTCGGCTCGGCCTCGGCCGTCGCTCCTCTTGCCTGGCGTGCCGGTGCCGGTGCCCCGTGGCCGAGGGGCCCAAGCAAGCCAGGCAAGCCGAGCCGCCGAGCCTGCGCCGGGATCGAGTCGAGTCGAGCCCCACGCCGAGGAGCAGGGCTGGCCGAGCCGAGCCGGTCCCTGTGATGCTGCTGACCGTAGGGTTGCTACAAAAATCCTGCCTCCTGCACCTTGTCGTGCCGCCCTCGCCTCGCCTCGCACTTCTTCGATAACGCATCACGCAACGCAGTTTTCACCCGACTGGACATCCCGCCCCGCATTCCGGCGCGCACCGCTTAGCAAAGCAGCAGCGAGGCCGAGCCGTCGGCGCCAACGCACAGTGCGACCGACACCGCCGCGGTGGCGTGCCAAGCCAAGCCACGCCGGGCCGAGCGACACCACGAACATGACCCCGTACATGCTGCTGACGAGCCGCCGCCGCGCCGGCAGGCACGTCGTCACGTCGGCGAAAGAGGAGAAGTGGTGCGGAGCGCGGAGCGGAAGTGAAAAGACGCGGCGGACGCGGCGGATGCGCTGCCCTGGCGCCGCGCCGCGCCGAGGCCGATAAGGCCATGGGGATGCATGCCACGGCGACGACCACGTCGAGACGCCCTGCACGCCCTGCACGCCCTGCACGTCGCGTCACGATCCGCGGCGGCGTGAGGTACAGACACACGGCGCGGCACGGCGCGCGGGCCGCCCCGTCACACCTGCACGCCACGCTCGGGCACGCCATGGGCACGCCGCCAGCCGCGCCGGCCGCGGCCAGGGGGTGGGTGGGGCCCCGGCCGGCCCCGGCTGGGCCAAGCGCAGACGTGCCGGCTAGGGGCTCAACTGTTGATTGAGAGGCAAGATTGGCAGCGAGTATCGGGTGCGGCGCGGCGAGGCGGCATCGTGCCACTTTGACAGGACGCCCGGCGAGCGGTCAATTTAAAATCTCAAAGCCAAAGCCGCCGGTCGGCCGTGTCACTGTCACCGATAAAGGCCCGGTACCAGTTGCTATTTCTTTGGCACCGAGACGGGGAATCGAACCCGCCGCTCGCTCGAGCCGCCCCGTCGGTGTGGGGGTGTTCACATTCTTGTCCAGTGCGCCGGCACCCGGCACAGCCTGGCGCGGAGGGCCATCTTGTCCAGCCCGAGGAAGGGCTCCGCCTGGCTGCGCGCTGCGCCTGGCTCCGCGAAGGGTGCGGGTCAAGGGAAGGATATACGACGAACAGCGAACACGCCGCTGAGCCGCTGTTCGTTGGAAACCCTACAAGCAGGACACGCAGACAAACGGACCGATCCCTGGTGCTGGTCCGATCGCCGGCGGGGAGGAGGGGGAGAGGGGGCAGCCAGGACATACCCGGCCCAAGCCCGCCGCAGCCCGGACAGCCCGGCTGGCAGGCAGGCAGGCGGGAGCCCCGGCGGGGGCTGGGGGGTCGGGGGGACGGCGGCACAGCCAAGGCACGGCACGCCGCTTCACAACTGCTAGAAGTAACCGACAAAAACGCACACCGCGCCGCCCTGCGCCGCCGCTCTCTGCTCAGCTCCAAGCCGACCCAGGAGGAGGCGGCATCGCCGGCCGGCCGGCCAGGCGGACGGACGGACGGGCGGGCAGCTGACGCTCGAGCCCGGCGGGAGAGAGGGGAGGGGGCAGGGGCAAGGTAGGGCACGGGGGCTGCGAGTAAGCCCCCAAGCCCCCACATCACTCATACTACCAGGGCAGGGCCACTAGCAGGGCGCCCCGGCGGGCTGTGGGCCGTGCCGGCCGTGGGCCCCGTCCCGCTAGTCCCGTGGACCCCGTGGCAGCACGTAAACACTACGCATGTTTTGTAAGCAATCGGACGAGATTCGGAGATATTTCTGTATCCGAGACTCGGGGCGCCCCAAGCCCCCCTTTCCCCTTCCTTCGTCATCGCGTGGGGGGGGGCGGGGGGCGACTTGACTTAGGTGTGGATGCTTCGGGCGGCAGGGCGTATTTATTCAGATCCTCGTGTCGCATGATTCACTGCGCTGGGGCGGGGCGGGGCGGGGCGGGGTGGGGTGCGGTGGCTGGGGTGGGGCCCAAGTGAGACAAGCCCGGCGCCCAGCCTGCGACAGACAGCTCGTGCCGCTCGCACGCCGCACGCCCCTCGTCGCCAGCCGCCACCCCGAAGGCCTCGCCGAAGGCCCAACACTAAACGGGCGGCGTCTCCGAGGAGTAACGAACTTTGGCCCCGTCAATCGTCTGTCGCCGACAATCGCCCTCCTAGGGCAGGACGCAGACCAGGGCACCGTTCCCACGCGCAACGCCAAAGGGCCCCAAAGTGCACCCGGCGAGAAGGGACCGCGACATTCACGAGGGCCACGAGGACCAGTAGGAT